AAGTGCCATTAAATTTCTTTATTTATTATTTTCATAAGATTGTAACATTATACAATAGTTAGTAATAGCAGCAAGTCATGTGGTTCTTTTCTTCGTAACTATTCCGTAGAGACGCCACATTCCTTATCAGTAGTCCGTTCTTATCAGCTATTCACACCCATGAAAGATCTGTTGCTGTGAAAAGAGGCTATTAAGCGAATAAAATTATCTGGAAAATTGAGAGTGATTAGTTTGTAAATAAGTCCTCGATGCCATACCCTGTCAAAAGCTTTCGCGATATCGAGAAATATAGCACCGGTCGGAAGCGGCGGACCAGAATCGAAGAAAGCGGATCATAAAGGTAAGCAACCTTTCTTTATTTGCTTATCTAGAATTTTGAATGATCTGTTCTTTTCTGAATTGAAACGATAGTTTCAGTAAATGTTTTCAACTCTCTAAAAAAGTTTAATGCACTTTTCCTATGCAATGTCTCATTCATCAAATTGGAGAAGGAAACTTCGCTTCTTCGAAACTTCAAACATCGTATTCGCTGTTTACTATCAACACGAGAAATCCAAAAGAAACCCTGACACGGAATATTCAGATAAGTAACATTCTGTTCTCTATACAATATCTTATTCTCTATCACTAAAGTGCCATTAAATTTCTTTATTTATTATTTTCATAAGATTGTAACATTATACAATAGTTAGTAATAGCAGCAAGTCATGTGGTTCTTTTCTTCGTAACTATTCCGTAGAGACGCCACATTCCTTATCAGTAGTCCGTTCTTATCAGCTTTTCACACCCATGAAAGATCTGTTGCTGTGAAAAGAGGCTATTAAGCGAATAAAATTATCTGGAAAATTGAGAGTGATTAGTTTGTAAATAAGTCCTCGATGCCATACCCTGTCAAAAGCTTTCGCGATATCGAGAAATATAGCACCGGTCGGAAGCGGCGGACCAGAATCGAAGAAAGCGGATCATAAAGGTAAGCAACCTTTCTTTATTTGCTTATCTAGAATTTTGAATGATCTGTTCTTTTCTGAATTGAAACGATAGTTTCAGTAAATGTTTTCAACTCTCTAAAAAAGTTTAATGCACTTTTCCTATGCAATGTCTCATTCATCAAATTGGAGAAGGAAACTTCGCTTCTTCGAAACTTCAAACATCGTATTCGCTGTTTACTATCAACACGAGAAATCCAAAAGAAACCCTGACACGGAATATTCAGATAAGTAACATTCTGTTCTCTATACAATATCTTATTCTCTATCACTAAAGTGCCATTAAATTTCTTTATTTATTATTTTCATAAGATTGTAACATTATACAATAGTTAGTAATAGCAGCAAGTCATGTGGTTCTTTTCTTCGTAACTATTCCGTAGAGACGCCACATTCCTTATCAGTAGTCCGTTCTTATCAGCTATTCACACCCATGAAAGATCTGTTGCTGTGAAAAGAGGCTATTAAGCGAATAAAATTATCTGGAAAATTGAGAGTGATTAGTTTGTAAATAAGTCCTCGATGCCATACCCTGTCAAAAGCTTTCGCGATATCGAGAAATATAGCACCGGTCGGAAGCGGCGGACCAGAATCGAAGAAAGCGGATCATAAAGGTAAGCAACCTTTCTTTATTTGCTTATCTAGAATTTTGAATGATCTGTTTTTTTCTGAATTGAAACGATAGTTTCAGTAAATGTTTTCAACTCTCTAAAAAAGTTTAATGCACTTTTCCTATGCAATGTCTCATTCATCAAATTGGAGAAGGAAACTTCGCTTCTTCGAAACTTCAAACATCGTATTCGCTGTTTACTATCAACACGAGAAATCCAAAAGAAACCCTGACACGGAATATTCAGATAAGTAACATTCTGTTCTCTATACAATATCTTATTCTCTATCACTAAAGTGCCATTAAATTTCTTTATTTATTATTTTCATAAGATTGTAACATTATACAATAGTTAGTAATAGCAGCAAGTCATGTGGTTCTTTTCTTCGTAACTATTCCGTAGAGACGCCACATTCCTTATCAGTAGTCCGTTCTTATCAGCTATTCACACCCATGAAAGATCTGTTGCTGTGAAAAGAGGCTATTAAGCGAATAAAATTATCTGGAAAATTGAGAGTGATTAGTTTGTAAATAAGTCCTCGATGCCATACCCTGTCAAAAGCTTTCGCGATATCGAGAAATATAGCACCGGTCGGAAGCGGCGGACCAGAATCGAAGAAAGCGGATCATAAAGGTAAGCAACCTTTCTTTATTTGCTTATCTAGAATTTTGAATGATCTGTTTTTTTCTGAATTGAAACGATAGTTTCAGTAAATGTTTTCAACTCTCTAAAAAAGTTTAATGCACTTTTCCTATGCAATGTCTCATTCATCAAATTGGAGAAGGAAACTTCGCTTCTTCGAAACTTCAAACATCGTATTCGCTGTTTACTATCAACACGAGAAATCCAAAAGAAACCCTGACACGGAATATTCAGATAAGTAACATTCTGTTCTCTATACAATATCTTATTCTCTATCACTAAAGTGCCATTAAATTTCTTTATTTATTATTTTCATAAGATTGTAACATTATACAATAGTTAGTAATAGCAGCAAGTCATGTGGTTCTTTTCTTCGTAACTATTCCGTAGAGACGCCACATTCCTTATCAGTAGTCCGTTCTTATCAGCTATTCACACCCATGAAAGATCTGTTGCTGTGAAAAGAGGCTATTAAGCGAATAAAATTATCTGGAAAATTGAGAGTGATTAGTTTGTAAATAAGTCCTCGATGCCATACCCTGTCAAAAGCTTTCGCGATATCGAGAAATATAGCACCGGTCGGAAGCGGCGGACCAGAATCGAAGAAAGCGGATCATAAAGGTAAGCAACCTTTCTTTATTTTGCTTATCTAGAATTTTGAATGATCTGTTTTTTTCTGAATTGAAACGATAGTTTCAGTAAATGTTTTCAACTCTCTAAAAAAGTTTAATGCACTTTTCCTATGCAATGTCTCATTCATCAAATTGGAGAAGGAAACTTCGCTTCTTCGAAACTTCAAACATCGTATTCGCTGTTTACTATCAACACGAGAAATCCAAAAGAAACCCTGACACGGAATATTCAGATAAGTAACATTCTGTTCTCTATACAATATCTTATTCTCTATCACTAAAGTGCCATTAAATTTCTTTATTTATTATTTTCATAAGATTGTAACATTATACAATAGTTAGTAATAGCAGCAAGTCATGTGGTTCTTTTCTTCGTAACTATTCCGTAGAGACGCCACATTCCTTATCAGTAGTCCGTTCTTATCAGCTATTCACACCCATGAAAGATCTGTTGCTGTGAAAAGAGGCTATTAAGCGAATAAAATTATCTGGAAAATTGAGAGTGATTAGTTTGTAAATAAGTCCTCGATGCCATACCCTGTCAAAAGCTTTCGCGATATCGAGAAATATAGCACCGGTCGGAAGCGGCGGACCAGAATCGAAGAAAGCGGATCATAAAGGTAAGCAACCTTTCTTTATTTGCTTATCTAGAATTTTGAATGATCTGTTTTTTCTGAATTGAAACGATAGTTTCAGTAAATGTTTTCAACTCTCTAAAAAAGTTTAATGCACTTTTCCTATGCAATGTCTCATTCATCAAATTGGAGAAGGAAACTTCGCTTCTTCGAAACTTCAAACATCGTATTCGCTGTTTACTATCAACACGAGAAATCCAAAAGAAACCCTGACACGGAATATTCAGATAAGTAACATTCTGTTCTCTATACAATATCTTATTCTCTATCACTAAAGTGCCATTAAATTTCTTTATTTATTATTTTCATAAGATTGTAACATTATACAATAGTTAGTAATAGCAGCAAGTCATGTGGTTCTTTTCTTCGTAACTATTCCGTAGAGACGCCACATTCCTTATCAGTAGTCCGTTCTTATCAGCTATTCACACCCATGAAAGATCTGTTGCTGTGAAAAGAGGCTATTAAGCGAATAAAATTATCTGGAAAATTGAGAGTGATTAGTTTGTAAATAAGTCCTCGATGCCATACCCTGTCAAAAGCTTTCGCGATATCGAGAAATATAGCACCGGTCGGAAGCGGCGGACCAGAATCGAAGAAAGCGGATCATAAAGGTAAGCAACCTTTCTTTATTTGCTTATCTAGAATTTTGAATGATCTGTTTCTTTTCTGAATTGAAACGATAGTTTCAGTAAATGTTTTCAACTCTCTAAAAAAGTTTAATGCACTTTTCCTATGCAATGTCTCATTCATCAAATTGGAGAAGGAAACTTCGCTTCTTCGAAACTTCAAACATCGTATTCGCTGTTTACTATCAACACGAGAAATCCAAAAGAAACCCTGACACGGAATATTCAGATAAGTAACATTCTGTTCTCTATACAATATCTTATTCTCTATCACTAAAGTGCCATTAAATTTCTTTATTTATTATTTTCATAAGATTGTAACATTATACAATAGTTAGTAATAGCAGCAAGTCATGTGGTTCTTTTCTTCGTAACTATTCCGTAGAGACGCCACATTCCTTATCAGTAGTCCGTTCTTATCAGCTTTTCACACCCATGAAAGATCTGTTGCTGAAAAGAGAATAAAATTATCTGGAAAAAATGGAATGGAATAGCCTCGATGGCCATACCCTGTCAAATCTTAGCGGATATCGAAAATATAGACTTCGTAAGGAGGACTAAGATATCGAAAAGGAGGAAGTTTTAACATCACAGCTTCGAATTTGAGTTCCCTTATTACTACATTTCTAAAATAATCATAATTTTGGAAAGATAGTTCCAGAGCCCTTTTACGCCTATACTGTATCCCTACAATATTTTCGGCAATCAGTTTAAGTCTTCTTAGAAACTTTATAAGTATGAAAAATTACACATTTAAAGCAAGTACTTCTAAAAAAGTATAAAGTATATCAATGAAGTGTTGCTTATTGGTAAAATACTTCTGTTTCAATAAATTATTACCGACAATAAATAAAATTGCTGAAATGAAAAATAAAGACAGTTAGTTACAGTTACAGTTACACTGCAAAAAGAGGACTGCTGTCCCTATAGCTATAATTAGCCTTACAGCATTATCATCCTCTCTGCAGTTGTCATCTGTTACTGTTGCGCCATCGCAGGAGGACCCACAGGACAAGCAGCGCGGATGCTATCAAAAAGAAAAAAAGAGCAAAGACATAAAAGTAACGTCATCACCAAAGGAATCACCGTCTTGTGCACACTACAGATTCTAAATATGAAATCGAAGTTAAAAAGGTAATTAAAACAAAACTACTGGTAAGAGAAATGTACAATTGATTTAAAAAGAAAAAGAGAGGGGGCTAAGCTGAGAGTCACTGGAAACTAAGTCAATTTTGCACAATGTGGTCTGCGTCATAGCTACATGACCCATGGTGTAATGAACCATGCAGCTATTATTCCATGAGAGTAAGTGCCCCAGTACACATTCGTGTTACCTACAGATAACATACATATCAAATACATTGACATATCAAATACAAAAAAAAAATATCCTACCCACATGAAAATAACTGTTGTTACTTACATTATAAATAGGTAGCACCTACTATGTTTACAGATTTACTTACATTAATACATTCACAGTATTACCGCATATTTTAAACATGCAGATTTGTTACAATTCACAAGTAATATGTACTTGCTCAATTCCAGATTATGTAAAGAGACAATTGCATGCAATTTACTGTGGCATAAGTATGAACTGCAAGTCTTATGTCATAAATAGCCATGCAGAAACTATTCCATGAAATTGTGAGCCCTGGTTCCCAATTGTACTACCTACAGTTAACAACCATAACAATATACATTGACAAAAATACATACAATTATCCTACCTAAAAAAAGTAACTACTTTTACTTACAATGTTAATAAATAGCACCGACTACTTTGCAGACTTACATAAGGACATACCAAGAATTTACTACTTGTTTTAAATACAACTTAGTTACAGTTCACATTATAGAATATGCAAAGGAACAGTTGCATAAAATCTTGCCACTAGTAAGGAATTTAAATGGAATATAGTACAACTACATATTTTGCTAAGACGTAGAACATGTGGTCTTGCGTTCTCGTAAAAATTTGATTTTTTTTTTTTTCAATCCAGAAATTATACTTGTTACACCAACTATTTACAAGACATATACCCATGATTACATGCACCATAGTGCGTCCTGGATACCTAATTTACTCTGAGAATATACACACATAAACACGTAATACATACGTAAATACATAAATACGCACTGAGAACATACATAATAAAATACCTAAATTAACGTTATACAGACAGCATAATTTCAGACTAAAAAAAGGACCGAATTATTTAAATACTAAATACTAACTCAATCAATGACACACTTCTATATATAAACTGGCACTTAAACCCTTTTGTCACACAGCTATGAACAGGTACATTTATTAACTTTACAAAAACACATATCAAACTGCAATAAAAAAAATAAGTATGTATGAGGATACAGTGCCCAGTTAATACTAGTATAAACAGGACTGCAATTAAAGTGATTTCTAAATGGATATCAAAATAATATTGAACATAATACCAAACTGACAGAAGAATACAAGACAGCACACTGATTAATATTCTAGTGATATTATTACTAAATTCAGTGCAATAGTAATTATAATCCTAAAAAAGAAATTGCAAATTGCTGTTGCAGGTGTTCCTTTACTTTAATTATAGTGCATGATATAGTCTCTAATGCCATTCTTTCGATCTCGAAATGCAAGCTATAAGAGTACAATTACTATGTCGTATTGTATGGATAATTTATTGTAACTGTTCTGAAGCTCATAAATGGTTAATTAACCATAAACTGCACAAAACCAGCTGTACTACTAATTGCATATTACTTGTTAACAAAGTGAAAATTACTATAACCTAGAAAACATGTAGTTGCACAGTACTGTGAGGAATTTAATTTATAAAGCACTATGCCATTACTAGTAGGGCTGTACACTGATACACTAGTTGTCTATTTATTAAACTCTCCGTTATTGATTCCTGTTGGGTGTTTGTAACCATACTCTTCAGTTACTGATAGCAGATTTCACAACTGCACAATGTTTAACTGATTCCCTAAGCTTTGCTTTGGCTATTTTATTTTTCAATATGTTGTCTGCCCACAGTGACCAATACTGTGGGCTTGGCTGCCTATGATGTAGAGAGCTTGTATCAGTGCAGTTGAAAACATAATGATCCAGGTCCCCCACCTCTCCACATCTACAGTTATCTGTTCCGCTTAGACCAAACCTATGTAGGTATGTCATGAACGGGCCATGCCCTGTGAACAAGTGGGTGATCTCTCCATTTGTTGCTAGCAGGCTTTCCCCAACTTTCCGAAAGAAACGGAATATCCTGCTGGTTGGAGCCGTGTTCCATTTACTTTGACATTGTTCCAGCAGGTGAATACGTGTCACGTTTTTGATACGGGAGACTGAGAGTTTGAGTGGACATTCTAGTAGAGCTACGTCGTTTGCCGCAGTTTTTGCCAACCTGAACGCTTCTGCATTTCCTTGTATCCCAACATGGGCTGGGACCCAGTGAAAAGTGGGACGAGCTGACTGCGGCAGTTGCAGCAGGAGTCGTCTAATATCATTCACATATGGGCTTCCACTCTTAAGACCCCTTATTGCTTCCAGACTGAAGGCAGAGACACTATAAATTGTTATTTTTACCCACTTAGATGATGCACTGGATAGCCTATTGCTGATTTTAACGCTACCAACTTAGCCTGGAAGACAGTTGTTCTCATTGAGTCTACTTTTCCAGTCGTGCTTTATGACGCCCTCCTTAATGGCACAGAAGGCACTACTCGTACCTGTTTTGGTCTGTAAACAAGCTTATTTAACATGATTTGGGGGTGTGTACGATAGACTGACGATGCCCATTAAGTCAGTTTCTACAGGATAGCCCAACTGCACTGGCCTATGCTTCTCATAGGCTAGTAAGTAGTAATGGTTCCGTCAGAGAGTACAGTATTCTCCAAGACGTACCACTCTTGCTGCAACTGATTCCCTTTTTGCCTGAAGGTCTAGTGGCGGGATGCCTGCCAGAATCTGTAAAGCGGTGGTTGGGTGTGGTGCTGTAACCTTTACATATTATTAGCCATTGCTGTCTCTGCATTGCCAATAAAATTTTTCTCATGCCGGCATTAATGCACTCGCACCACACTCCTGCACCATAATGAATGAAGCGTTCGGTTATAGTTTTGTACCAAGCCCTTAATATACATGGGGTGTACCTCAGTGAAGTTTCGTAGTTCTTAGCATTGTGTTTGTTATATATGCACTACGCTGTTTCACTGATTTCAAGTGCGGAATCCAAGAAAGGTTGTTGCTAAGTATGATTCCTAAGTACTTTAGGGTTGTTACACATTTTATTGAGTTTTCATTTATTTTTACTGTTGTGTTACGCTTTACAACGCCTTTGCGTCCAATACAAAGCAGCATTGTCTTGCCAGCTGAGATTTCCAATTTATGGTTTCGAGTCCATAACATGAATTTATCTACTGCCCCCTTGCGCTCTGGTTTCTGTCTCTCCTTCCGTTGACTATAATGGCAAAGTCATCAGCAAATGCTTGCACTTTCACGGGACTCTGGTTTTGAAACATCCCAAAAGCCGTATTTGGAGCTGCATTCGAGAGAGTTGACCCTAGAAATGAGCCTTGGGGACAGCCTCTTTCTAGTTTCATTGTTGTTGGACAAGCAGGAGAGGTTAACCTCACATAGCGATCCTCCAGGTAGCTTCTATGATTTATTTCTTTATCCTTAAACTATTATATTTTTATTAGTTTTGGGTATGTTAATACCCTTGAATGCTCTTTGCAGTTCTCCTAGTTTTTCTTCCAGAAACCAAGTCTAAGAGAAGGTTACTTTGCAGATGAGACTTAAGTAATACGTAAACAGGATGTGCAGCAAAATAAATTATAACGCAGCAATTGAGTTTCTAACCCGTTATTTTATGTTAATTCCCTTTTCTACCAAGCCTTGTTTCCATTTCCCTGCCAAATTGCAAATTCAAATTAGGTAAAAAGAAGGGTTATTTAAAGGAAGGTTTTAGAGGATGAAATCAGAGCGTGTTCTGCCTGCTTGAAGGACACATTGCTAACTTTGATTCTCTAGCGATCAGTAATCTGCGGCATTAACTTATTCTTGCTATTAGGCTTATTTACGCCGATTTCGGTCAGAGCAAGCTTGGGCGTCAGTTATATTGTGAAGCCGCTAGGTTATACTCAAATTTTATTCGCTTATTCATTGTCTTAAAGCCAAAGTTATTGGCTTCTGTAAGCACGAGTTGGTGTCTTCTGCTGAACTTTATTTGAAAAAAAAAGGTCCTTTGCATCCTTTCTCTATCTCTGTGGTATTTATAAGTACAGTGAAAAGTCACTACTTCAAGAGTTCTGGCCTAATTGTATGTAAAATAATTGAAGCCATTTGAATTATTTTTCCGTCTCGAAGTGATAATGTTAAGTATTCTCCAATGGAGCCGGTTAGGATTTGAGCCTAAGATCTCTGTATTGTGAAGACGCTAGGTTATACTCAAATTTTGATAGTTTATCCATTGTCTTAAAGCCAAATTTATTAGCTTCTGTAAGCACGAGTTGGAGTTTTCTGTTAAACTTTATTTGGAATAAAAGGTCCTTTGCATCCTTTCTTTGCGGTATTTACAAGTACAGTTAAAAGTCACTACTTCAAGAGTTCTGGTCTAATTGTATGCTAGCTAACAAGGTCAGGCCTTATAAAATAACTTGAGGCCATTTGAATTATTTTCCCATCTCGAAGTGGTATGTTTAGAAGTTTTGGAGCTGGTTAGGATTTGAGCCTAAGATCTCTCCTTTTAACCTCTGGACAAACCGAACGAGACAAGTCCACGGATATTTTCTAAGAATGAACCCAGTTTTGAGGAGATAACCTATTAAACAATACGTCGCTCAAATGTGCATCTGTTCTAAAAGAATTATTATAGTGTTTTAGGAAGAACTATTTTCCGCTTAGTAAATATACAGTTCAATGCAATAAAATTGTTTTACTAGCATTCAGGTGAAATGTTAAAAACATAAGCAAATTTTCAAAAAGGCATCTATTTGCGTAAATAATAAATTATGTCACAGATATAATACGTATAATGAATAAATTGCTAACTTACTGGTCTATTTATAAATTTGTGAAAATAAGAAATTTGAATCTTTTTCAGCAGTTCTACATCTGTTATAAGAACAATTGGCTCTGTCCCATAATAATACCTAAATATAGAATCATGATATTAAAATCGCAAATTTATACATATTTTAAGAAGGGAAAAAAGTCAATACTTATTTATATACATACAAAAGCGAACAGTTATTGTGAGTACAATGTTTGATTGGAATATTTTTAAATACACAAGGAAAATCACAAAATCAAAACACAAACTGAAGACGCTGAACATGCTTGATCCAGGGTTCGACTCCCGGCGAACGGGCTGGCCTTTTCGTGGTTTTCCCCATGTGTAACGTGGATACGAGCCAGTTTCCCTTAAAATGACCTCCACGGGGCATCCCTCCCTTTCTGTATAGTGCCAAAGGATGGAGCACGCAATAAGTCAAAAAAAAAAAAAAAAAAAAAAAAAAAAAAATTAAAAACAGAATCTGAAAGCTTTCAGATTTCATATTACGCCCAAAGAGGCATTTTTTAAATATTTTGTGAGTTACCTTTATTTATTAAATATCATGTTCTTAACACTTAAACCATGAAATTCAATTCAGCAGCAATATCACAAAATATTTAAAGGAGCATATCTTTAGAATTTCCGATACGTGCGCTGGAGATAAGAGATAAGAGTTTTGGCTTCCCTGCTCCGAGAAATCAATCCCACTGCAGGTCCACTCCCCCTTTGGGCACATCGTGGAAGTTCAACTTCCACTATTACCCTCCAGGAGAGCAGCGCACCACCTGGATACGACACCAGGCAGCACCGGTCGTCAAATGCTCCTACCAGTCGCTTGGGCGAGCCCGTCGCAGCGGGACATTACCCAGCGACCCCGGGGGAGACCCCCGGGTTACTAGAACCACGCCGCGCTAGGACGTGCCAGACTCCGGGGCCGGCCAATAAGTGACCTTTCCCAGAGCCTTCAGAACCACCAAGTTCATAAATTTTATACCCCCGTGGCCGAGACTGCCTAGGTACAGATACTAGCCAGTAGCTTCGCAGAGTTCTCTACGTCGACCCCCGGGGGGGACGCTGGAGATAAAAAGGTTTTACATTTTTTCATAAGTGTTGCCATTGTTCGCTTGGAAATCGTTGAGTGTCTTAATCAAAAACTCATAAATGCTTTGCAAAATATGAAATAGATGATAAAACAAACTCTAGATCCCAAATTCGGGCTTCCAGATGCCCATGTTCGAGTGGTAACGTACGTTGTTGAAATTTTGATGGCTTTAGATACCGTTGTTTGTTTAGGTACCGTTACTCACAATGCGAGAAACATACATACATTTATGCAGATTCTTCATTATTTAATTTTTAAATACAATATTTGGTGGCAACAATTTAAAAAGTGATTCGCCGTTTATAGTGAATCAAAGCAAAATGCCAACGCAAATTAATAGCCCTTCTGGGCAAATTGCCCCTTTGGGTTAAAAATAAACACACACAAACTGCTATGGTCCTCTTTTATCCCGGATAAGATATATTTTACGATTTAAGATTACTAATTCCCTAATCTGTAAAACAAAACCTGTCGCTTTGGGACATAGGTCTGCTTATGTATCGCATTCGCGGAGTACATAATTATATTGTAATCTACTAAATAATTTTTCTATGTGCCCAGCAGATAAGAACTTCTAATCAGAAGAAGGATATTCATAACTAAATTTGCGAGATAAAAGGTTCCATCGTAGCAAGTTCAAAGTTACCCCAGATATTACTCATTAGAATTTTGTGGGATACACTCTATTTTGCAAAGACAAATATCCAGGCGAGATTTGAATGCATATTTCTTTGTCAGAAAAATATGAAGTATGAGACTTCTCCTATTGGTAAAAATGCTAGTATCAATATTTTTTGGTTCTTTGTGATTATCCCTCCCTTGAAAAGTATTCACGAGATAACACGCTATGTTACAAAAATAGGCATCACTGACGAGGCCAAAAGGCATTTCTTTAAATGCCCTTTGGCAATCCAGGCATGTCCGCTCACCTAGCAGACAAGAACTGATTTCCTGTTCGAATTCGACAGGCACTTTTGTGATCTGTGTTTGTTTTTGTTGTATTCCAGTCCATTTCTTGGTTGTAAAGTATCGTTATGAAACTATGGACTTTGCCTGTTCATGGAAAACAAAGCGTTGCATTTCTTCCGAGAAATGGTGTTTTGCCCAACAGTACAGAATGCAAAGCTTAACATTCGTTGAACGAATCATCATTCTTAAACAATAAAACTTTATCACTCGAAATTTTTGCCGAACTTTTGTAATTATCTGATTTTTCTAAGGGAAAACAGATTGCTGTGTTCGTGGGGAGAAAAATAATATGCGCAATGTCAAGTTTTATGTGATGCTGAGTTTGTAATGCGCAATATCAAGTTTTTTTGTGATGCTGAGTTTGTAATGCGCAATGTCAAGTTTTATGTGCTCTTAATTTTTCTTTTTTTTTTTTTTTTTTTTTTTTTTTCTTTCTTTTTTTTTCCCTGAAACAGATCTCTGTTTATGAACAGAACAAAAATGGTAAGTGTTTTATTACGAATTTTCTTGACTTTTTAATATTGTTAATTGGTTGCTGTTTTATGTAATTATTAATGAACTGCCTTTTTTGACTATTAGTTCCTAACAGCTAGTCACTTTTAAGGAGTGATTTGAGGATAATAAAAAAGTACTATATTTTTCATCAAGCTAAATTAAAATATCATACCTTCCGATATCTATCTTCTTTACCGCGGGGAAATGATTTTAAGTCATATAGTTTTTACACAATTCTCAGGAACATTTTCATATATTACAGAACGTATTTCTTTTTCAAATTAACCATAGAGTTCAATAGGTTATGAAGTAAATTACTTTTTATATTCCCTCCCCCGCTCCTTTTTTCCTCCTGAACTAAAACCGGAAATTCTTATCAAAGGGTATCCTGTGATCCAAATTATGGCGTGTCTAATCTGAATCGATTTTAAACTTTAAATACGTATTAAGCATAAAGGTGATGTTTTTTATGAAAACGTTAATAGGTAGAATTAGTAATCTGAAGAAAATCTAATAATAGACGGGTTTAGACACAGCAAGAGAATTTCATATTTATGGAAGTCTTTGATGATGGGCTGAAGAAGAACTTCTATTAATCAGCATCTTAAACAGGAAGTCAACATTTATTAATTTTAAAGTATTAAAAATTTGAAGTTCAGGGAGTGAAGAATTGCTCTCAAAAACATACAACGAGATCAAGTATAAATAGAAAAAATATTGTTGTATACTTCAGTAATAATAGCAATATATTTACACGGAAATGTGCTACTTGTACTTCATGTGATCTCTACTGTACGTGATCATCATAAAAATGGGTTTCAGTCAAATATGGTATGCAATATTAAAAACTAAGATGAAGATGAACAAACTCTTTACTTACCCCACCACTTTTCCGTATTTCTGGATCCATTCTTTTTGGCATTTTAGAGGATCCTAGAAAAAAATATTTTAATACTCTTGCAATTGTACCGTCGATATAGATTATATATATATATATATATATATACCCTCCAATATATATACGATACATATATATATATACAGTCGTGCTTTCGTATTTGCTGACTTAACATATGTTGTTTACCCCAGTGCTCATCAGTTTATGTAATTAAAAGAAATAAGCAGTTTATAAAGTGCAAAATGAGCTTAACTGAGAACGTTAATATCTTTAATATCCTAAAATATAGTCAAAACACTCCCTGCATTGTCTTCCTGCCTCATTGCAGACTATAAATGAAAATGTGCGTTCAAATAATCTGGCCTGGTGTTTTATTGCTTAGATATTCTTTAATGGAAATGTATAACTTTTATTTAAATTGAAAGAAGGTGAAAATTAGCAACCAGAATTGCTGCAATATAAATAAATATTGCAGGATTAAGTCTGACATTTATACGTAAAATAATGAGAACACAAAATTTTGTTTTTATGTGCAAACAAAGGAATTAACATATTGGAGGAAAATTATTAATGGAATCAATAATTTTAATATCATCACCAGGAAAAAGTTTTTATTTGGAAAGTTTCGATGATTTTTTTTTCTGTTCTTAAGGTGAATAGGAGCCATTTTCCCTTAAAAGGTCCTAAATGAAAGCATATTTTTAGGCAGGTAGAAGAGGAAAAATTTTAAGCATTTTTTACCCAGAGAAGATATAACTGCTTTACGCTATTTCATTATGCTATGTAAAGGCTAAAAATAATGTAAAATAGTCAGCATCATCAATCTGTTCTCCTGCAATGCATAACACAAAAGTATTTGCACTTTGAAAGCAAAAGAAATAAAGAATTGTCATTTGCGTTACAATAAATAAATTAATAATACTGGAAAGCTAACATAAAGGGGGATTTTTAATTGCCATTATTGGAAATAATGTTTCACATTTGTAATAGTTTTCATACTATGATTAAGCATTAAGTTATTCATCTGCAGTACATGGATATACTATCTGGATTTTTACAAGAGGCTGCCTTGAAGAGTTTGAAATAATTATTGAAATTATTTAATAAGAAATTTAAAAAAAAAACATAAAAATTTCCAAAATGGATTTGAGATTGCTTTTGCTTAAAATATATAAATATTTGCTTGTACAATATTTAGTATATAGTTTTGCTATGCATAGACAGCGCTTATCGTACGTGGTATGAAATTCTAGCTTAATAAGATGCAGATATATGAATATGGTAATTAAAGAATGTGACATAATTATATTTACTTTGCTGTACAATTCCAATAAATTACCAAACAGAAGATTCGGCTCTGGTCCAGGAATTCCCAATTTTTTGAAAATTGAAAATTTTCTTTTTCTCCAGCTGCAAATATTGATAAAGGTATATATTAATTGTAAAGAAAATAATTTTGTAGAATTTTATACCTTATGTAAGACTAATAAATTAGGAAATAACATTCTGCGTGACACTCAATATAAATAGAAGCCCTTTCTATATTGCATCTCCTTCTAATCCGGAAGCGGTTTCTTAAAACTAAGCAAAGTTTTGCCCATATTGGTTTTTTGCGATGACCTAAGTAATTTATTTCGATCAGGAACCGAACTGAGTTTCTGAACAGTGAAAGAGCACTATGATTACAAACACATTACATTAGTGGTTAAAAGAAGACTGTATTTCTGTCTTTTATTGCTCCTAGATGCCCACTAATAGTGGAGACGAAAGACCGCTAAATACTAATAGCTCGATTCTGGTTCAAATACCGGACGAACACGCTGGTTTTGTGTTTTATGTGTTTATGCGTAAAGCGAATATAAGGTAGTTTCTCTTACGAAAACCGTCTTCTAAACTCGAAATCTAAGTATTCCACACAAAATATATTTATGAATCCATTCATCTAGAAATACATAATAGTTTAAAAAAATCCTGCTAATATTCTTCAGGTAACTAGAAAAAAAGGTTGGTAATGGAGTTTTTAATCGCCAACGGTGAACTTTCTGACGAAATATTAGTATTTCGTGAAATTTACGAAAGATCACTGCATCGTAAAATAAATATAGACGATTTTCTCATTTTCAACTTCCCATTCGCATTGATTCAGCAATTAATTTGCTATAATGTTACATACTTCTAGATCAGCGGAAGTATTTAAATTTTTTTGTGTGTGTTTCTCTGATTTTCCAATATTTTCACGACACAGTCGATTTTCGAGTCATTATGGATCAGTTTGTTTCTAATCAGAAATGAGCATTTACAGTTCTTTTCAGACTCTTATTCTGCACTACCTGAAGTTTGGGGAAGTCTGCGACCCAGGCTGGACTTGGGTACCACAGTATTGGCCTTATAATGGCTAGGCAAATCCTTCTCTTTTTGTTGACATACAGCCACAGCAATTTCCAAGGAGTACAGAAACTTACCAACTTCCAAGGAGTGGTTGGCGATACCACATACTTCTCCTATGAGGTGTTTAAATATGACAAACCCATGTGAGTCTTTGGATAATGATAATCCTCAGATGTATTGTTTACACTGTTGAGAATTTCCTCATATAATTAGAGGCTGACCAGCGCTATTTTCGGAATTTTGCATGTTCTGACTAGTAGGAACTCGCAAGCTCAAAATACTGATCCTCCATTCCCCGCACTAGTCCCCAATATCTAAACAATTCCTGGAGTTAGGAAATGTTATTATTGGAATGGATGGAGCCCTCGGTTACCGCTTTATCGCCAGCGTAGAAAGATAGCATAGTTATGATCCAGTTTATATCTGGAAGAAATATTATCACGATTATGAGACTCTTATAGCATTGACTGAGGTAATTTCCAATTGTTAGCAATATTTATGCAATATGTACTAGCATTTGATATATTAAGGTAATTCTGAACCGCAATTAGCTTATTAACCGGATTATTATTTCCAATATTTTTGATATTTCCTTCAAAACAGGAAATGAACGAAATGTTTGCATAATTATTGCTTCTACTTACGTTATTGTTTATTTTCCGTTTACATGCTCTAGGCATACAATAAGTTTTCTGGTTTGAATAGAGGAGACGTTTTACAGTTTTCTTAACGGGAAAGTTTCACCTACTGTCTTTCTTCGTTTACAAGACAGAAAATCTAACTTCCGCTAGGGGCGCTGTAAGCGTTCCGAATCGATAGAATGTAGTCACTTCTTATCAATAAACGCTGCTTCTACCAGCTGTACAACAGTTCAATTGATTTTTTTTTCCGAATCCCGGGCACTTTTTACAGCATTGGCCTCTACTAAGGCCAGACGCGGCGGTCATTTTATTATGGAGGCACTTAATAGGTGACCATCGTTACTTCAAATGAGAGGACAGACAGTTTACAATCATACCTACTTTTGGATTCTAACCTAGTCCCTTCAGTATAGCAGTCGCCTTCCCTAACCACTATACCGTCTGGGCGGCATTCAAATGAATTTTAAAGGTTGCAAAGAACAGTGCGAATCCTGTCCATAAACTCTCCTGAATGCCAGAAATTGAATAAAATTCTCTCCAGAGCATCTAAATATGCTTTAAATTAAACAAATGCAACATGTAAAGATTAAACAAGCGTAATAGTTAAAAATAACATGAAGGTATCAATTCCAAAATTAAAGAAAATTTCAACAATGAGGTGAGCCGTACATGAAACCACATTTTTAGGAAGTCATTTAATTACTTATAAGAAGTATAAAAATTTATAGATTATATCTTTAAAATCACTGAAAAATAACTTTTATCATTCACTTTTCAGACACATAAAGTAAAACAACCAAGATCCTACTTCATCTTAAAATTTGTATACTCACAAGAGCCATAGAACCACAGCGACAACAAAAAATGTGAACGCCCACATTCTGAAAGTGAAATGAAACCAAACTTGCAGCAATTTGATGCTTAGAACATGAATTTTAAAAAACATAAAATATAATCTGAAAGATTACATAGAGAAAATGTCAGAATTATCTATGGCTTTTATCGGTGGTTTATCTTTGATGAAATGCAACGCGCATTTTTGTTTTGCACGTACACTTTTTTTTCTATCTTTAATGACACAGCAGTAAATTTCGCGAGTCACTAATCACATGTGAATGAAGAAAGGAGGTATGTCTTTATTACAACTGATACTAAGCAAAATCTGATAAAAGCTAAATATTCAAATTCTTTCTGTTCATCTTAATTTTGTAAGAGCTTGCTCAGAAAGAATTTAAAAAAATCGCCTTTATCCTTAATGCCTGAATTTAGGAATGCCCTTGCTTCAAGGTCGAGAAGTAAAATTTTCATCATTAGGTGGAAGAATTGATAAGCAAAAATATGTTTTTAAGCGTATTTAGATAAAAAATTAGACTTTTAAAGGAAGATTGCAAATAATCTTGAATTCTTAAAGGCAAAATCATAACAGAAAAAGGAATGCTTTAAAATTTATAGCTGAAGTTATGACAGTGGTCTAAAAGCGTTACTGTTATCCAACTATTACACATTATCTATTAAACATGAAAATATAATAAAGTTTCAATTCCTTGCATTTTTATCCTTTTATTTTTGTTGGATAACAGTACTGAAAACATTCCCGAAAAAGTAATAACATTTTGAGAGTATAAATTTCTAATTTAGTGTTTCAATTATTTGTTTAAGCAAAATTTTATATTAAAGACAAGCACCCTTCTCTGTTGTTGTCTTCCATACAATAATGCTATGCATATCTTAATCTAAAACATTATTTATTTCAGTTTGTCAACTGAAAAATCGACCAATCTTTATTTATGAGTTACATATGCTTGGAAATAAACATAACATGAGTTAACATGAATAACACTTTGACGTGTTAAGGCAAGTTTAGTAGTTTAATTTTATGCAACTAAAAATTTTTTCAAAACAGCAAAGTCCGGGGGAAAAGGCTACTTTTCGTAGGTTATGTGATACTGATAAAATTTTTAAAAAGATGCCATTCAATCTTAGGAAAATGTTTTACGTGTTTACAGTCTTCACCCAAACTATGCTTGTTAAAAAGATCTGTGTTTCAGCTCATTCATTATTCGTCTTGAGAAAAAGCATAAATGTAGATAACATTTTTTCTTAAATAGTAACTATAGTATTATATTTTTCTTAAATAGGACAGCTTTTATATTCTTTTATCTAAATTTCTAATAAAAGAGTATTAAATTTTTCTTCCTAGAAGAGACTGAGCCCACTTTTAGTAGACCTTGAAAATACCATAATTTGTATATCCTCTGCTACAGTGTCATATAATAAATACCCCCATTTCTATGTTTTATTTTAGTTTTCTTTTCTATTATCGTGTAATTTAATTACATACCTGACTGTGAGACTACATACTGCATCGCAATGTTACATATATCCAAAGCCACGAATTTGTAGATTCATATAATAAATACTTTGCTTGAAAGATTCACTAACGTATTATAAGACTTACTGGTTCTGAAAGTACCATTTAAGTTCAGAAAACTGGCGTTTATTAATTTTTTTCTTCTCTTTTCTATATATTGCTATTTGACATATCTGTTCAGATCGCTCCACTTTCAGACTCAAACTGGGGTTTCCAGACTTTAAGTGTTCCTTTATACTACTCCCACGAATATATCCTCGACTGCTTAAATTCATTTTCAGCTTATTATTCATTATTCACTTTTTTAGACATACGCGTGCATGTGACTGTCTTCGTGTAGATTCCGTTTTGAATCTTAAGGTGAATAAATAGCAGAAAATTTATCCAGATCCTACTCTATTTGCTCTCTTCCTGTGTATGTGATTTTATGTTTTCATACATATTACTGTCATTTTATTATTGTTGTCATGGCAGTCGAGAAATTGTGCTTACGCTGATGAGAGCAATTTTTCCACTCTACATTTATGTAGATCTACTTCTCCATGCAGAATTTCTGAAACTTATTCTAACGTATGATTGTATCAGGCCAACTCTCGTAGGAATTTTTCGAACTTTCTACGAACAGGAAATTAATTTTCGTAGCCGTGAAGTTAATGTTCAAGCTTTCATATATATTGTGTAAATCTTTTGGACAGCATCATCACAACACTAGCAAGTCACAGTGGTCTTCCTTATGTCAAATATATTCCAATTCGATTCATGACTGAATAAAATAGCAGCCCTTATACTAGACGAATACCTTTTCTCTTGAAGCAATTCATGGCTAAAATTCTCCTAATGGAGACTATAATTATTATAAATGAAAACGTTTGGCCAACTACTTAAATGAGAGGTCTCCCATATGATATATAGGGTTAGGTATCTCTGTGCAGCTAAGAAAACCTTGCAGGATAGCTTTTTCATTATTGTGATTACAAAATCCATCCCCTCTGCCACTGCTAAATTAACACCCAGTGCTAAAAATAAGTTTTGGTAGATTTGGAAAGATTCTGTCAATGAAAGTTATGGCCTTTCTCCCTTTTATCTAACAACTTAAGCGTGGAGCAACCTAGTGAATAGTTAAACGAATAATCGCTTAAGTTCAGCAATAGAAGCGTAAAGCTCAATAAGAGTTAATTACCCTTTATGGTCCAAAATAAAGATGTACAGATGGTCCCTTTCTCAGGACGTACAACAAAGCCTCCACTTGGGGTTAAATTCAAAAGTGTAAGAATAAGAACTTAACTAATGCTAACTTATAACGTTGCGCGCCTCTAACTGCACGCAACCAAGAGGTGACTGTGAAACTGTATAAAACAGAGTCTTGTAAGGGTTTAAGTCCCTTTTTATTCAACGTAAAATTTACAATTGCGTCTCTTGACGCTCACAAAACGCCGACCGGCGGTAAATAAAAATAAAAACTAAAAGAAAATAATAACAAGTGACTAACTACGAGGCTCTCTAAACGTAACTAACCTCACCGCGTTCTAAGATACCGCTGATAATTCAGCAAACTTCTGAATATTACGTTGAAAATTAAAACACTTCCCGGCAAGCACACAGGCCGAAACGCGTGGTTCTTCAATTTCTAACTAACTACCTCCACGCTCGTGCAGCAAGAAACACACTTTCGAACTCGTTTCCCTTCTATTTAACTCAGATTACTTCCGCTGACAATTTGAATCCTTTGCGCGTTCTACTAAAATTTACATACTCTGGCATTGGCAATTCCAGGGGAAAGTAAGGCTTAACAGGAAAGATAGTTTAAACTTAAAATAAATGTTAGTTAAAATAAATATAAACCCTACATTTGCCGCTGCCAGAATTTGGAAAACTTGGAAGCAGGTCCTAGAAACGACCTATTGGAAAGTTTCCACAATTCTGATCTAAATTTTAAGAGCCTCGTTGACATAAAAAAAATCTGTTATCTCACAAAAGGTAACAAAATTTCTGTAGATACTTATTTAATTCTCTTCTTACAGCAACCTTTCCCGGACTTCAGCAATCAATCTGTTCTCTTCCTTCCAGTATCTGGAAGGAATAAGTATCAGTATCTTTCTAAATACATTATAATTTACACTTTCTTGACACTGAATAAGTTTTTGTTTTTGAACGATTTATTTTCCTTAGTTACTGCTTAATTCACATTCATTCAAGTATTCAAACATGAATTTAACTTTACCCTGGCTCTCCACCATGTGTGGGTGTCAAACGGGAATATTCGTGTTTTAGTATTGCAACACTTCTCCTAACCACAATGATTTGTTAGAATTCAACGACCAAATAGACACACCTTACTCGACATTCTACAACTCGATGAGCTACTTTAACATTCTTAAAATTCAAGTGTAGGTGGAGAACCCTACAAAACACATTCATTCTAAATTCCCCCTCATTTATCTTTAGACATGCAGGCTTTCGCTCTAAAGCATGATTTTATCTACAGTTTAATACTTAAATTTGAATTCATTGCTTTTGAGCATTTACTTTTAGCATCTAAAATTTTATGCTTCTAGACTAAATTCTACTTTTACATAACTTTCAAGCATTTACGTATATTTACAAAATTCTAATACATATGATTTTTACAATTTACCATAAAATGAATAAGAGAAAAATAAATTTTTACTTTACTCATTCTTCGCCAAGCTGGAGGCACTGAAACTAAAGTTGTTATTAATACAAGAATACGAAGTTATTTTTATCTTCGGCCAAATTTTGGCTTTAACATAAAAATTAGTCTTTCGACCAACAGAAACTGCTTGTTCCTAGATTTTATACTTAAAGAAAATAATACTTTTGCCTTAGCTAAATAAAGTAAAACAAAACTAAATCTCAACCGAGACACATTGACTTTCGTCAAAACATAGAACTTTGTATTTACGCATAACATTTCGGAACAAAAGAAAAAAAAATTTATAGAAGATTTTAACTTATCTTTGAGTTTTCGATGATTGTAAACTCCGACATCCTTTCTGGCAGAACTGCTCCCATGTTATAGATTTCATCGACGTCAGTCGTCTCCTTAGGGTCCTTCGAGTGTCGTCCACGTTGCTTCTTCTTTTTCGCCCTCTGCATGCTGGCCTCTTGGAGTGGTAGTCGTCGGGTTGCTGTCTTTTCCGTTTTGCCCCTGGACGGCTGGTCTTGGCGTCCTCCGGTCTGGAATCGTGCTTGGATTTCTTCTGTTGGTGGTCTTTTCGTTCCTCCTGCTGTCTTTTCGTTTTCGGGAACGGCGGCCTTGTTTGCACCTGACTCTCTGGCCCTGGAAGCGTTCTCCTCGATGTAGAATTTCTACTGCGATAAGTTGTAAGTGGTGTTTTCCTCTTTACCAAAGTTTCTTTACGCGGCGGCTTTGCTTCTTGTATTTCTTAAATGCTGGAGTCTGACGTTTTCATTTCTTCTTTTCGGTACCGTCGCATGGGTTATAGAACGGCTAGGTTTCTCTCTTCAGTTCTCTGCTTCTTGGGTTGTGGAACGGGTTGACGTTATTTCTGGACCTTCTACTTCTTTTACGCTTGAGTCCTGCAAGAAACTTTTAAGGATTTCAAAATCATTTTGATTAT